GACTGGGGATTGACAAGTGCGAGGTTTTTAGTTTGATACTCTGCCTGGTACACATATACACACACATACACAAGAAGAAATCGTGCTGAAAATTTTAAATTAAACTCCACACTTCCACAATCAATAATATTAGTTTAACTAGCATTCATGTTGTTGATAAAAAGATAAACAATGAGCTGGGGTTTAGCTCAGCGGCACAAGCACCTGCCTGGCAAGTGCAAGGTTGTAAGTTCAATCCCTGGTACAAAAACAAACAAACAAAAAAGATAAACAATGAAAAGTCAGTTCTTTCTATGAGATAAGGAAAATTACTGAATTTTAATCTTAACATAATGCCAGAACCACTAACAAGTACTATCCTATTGGGACTAATATTTAACTGTTAGTTTTTTCAAAGATTTTACTGAGTGATATATATACAATATTATATTAAACTATATATATGTATTTATTCTTTTAAAATTGTGTCTGTTCTTCTGCATTACCAACTTGAAAAGATGAAGAGACTTTGAAAGAAGTGATTGGATTGTGAGGAGACTAACCTCATCAATGGGTAAGTTTATCCATGAGTTTATAGCTGAGTGGGCTTTAGGGTGTGGGTCCGGCTGGAGGAAGCAGGCCACAGAGACAGGACCTCGGGGACTGCATCTGTCCATCAACTCTCTTTGGCTTTGCCCTGTTCTCCCACCCTTCTGGGGTATTTTGAGCTGTCTTCCTGTGAATGCTCTACTGCCATGATATTTGAGCCTTAAAATTAAACAATCATGATTTGAAAACTCTGAAAATATGAACCAAAATAAGCTTTTCTTTTAAATTATGAGGTTTGGAAGTTTTGTCCAGCAACAGAAAAGTGAACAGTTCAGAAAATTTCCAATAGAGAAGTGGGGTCATTACTGTAACTACACATGACCATGGGGGCTCAGAAGCCTTTGTAACTATTTCTCAGGAGGAATGTGTGATTTGGTGATGTGGGCGTCAGACTCCTAGAAAGCCATAAACAGAGACTGATAGATGATTATCACAGTAGCTCAGAAGCTCTGAATGTTGAAAGGATTTAGAATAATAATTGTACTCAAGAAGCTCTAGACTTCTGATGGAAAGAGAGAATTCTTTTGACAATTGGACAAGAGACCAAAATGCTATATTCTTACAAATCATTTTTCTAGTTTATCCACATGCTAAAACTCTGTAAGGCTGAGTTCAAGGTGATGCATTAAGTGGTCTGGTGGAGGAAAAATACTATAAGACCAGCATCCCTGCCTGCTACGAGATCCTGAGAGGCTGCTGAGTCCCTGGGAGTGGAGTGAAGCTGCAGTGGATACCACAGAAACTTGGAGATGCCAGGAAAATGGACCACGCTCCAAAAAAGTTATAGGCAAGGAGCAGAACCAGCTGAATAAGGAGGTCATGGTTCATTTGAAGATCAAATGTATTTGAAAGATATAAGGTTATTGAGAGATTAATCATAGTTTAAAGATGTATAATTGTCAAATTGATAAAGTCATAGACTTCAATCAGTTGAGCTTCACTGTAGTCTTGACTGGACTGAGAGACCCCTGGAGAGGTGTCAGATTGTGAGGGCAGTAACCTCATTAATACTGAGTTTGTACTTGAATGGGCTTTTCTGACGTGGGGTATAGTTTAAGGAAATGGGTCAAGAGAGCATAATCTTGCGGACTATATTAGTCACTGAAACTTTCTTCTTTGGCTCTTTGTAACCTGCTCTGCTTTCCAGCTGCCATGAGTGTAGCAGCTTTCCTCTGTGATGCTTTTCCCCCAGGGGGACTGAGATCTCTGAAAGTATGGGCCAAAATGAAGCTCTGTGCATTTGGATTGCAAATGAGAGATATTTTTGGCCCCAAACAGAAAAGTGACAAATGTGATTCTCAAACAATCATACAATTCAGATATCTGTCAAGCTACCTAATATATTGTATGCTCTAAATACTTTAAACACTGACAATCAATAAGCTGAACATTTCCAGTAAGTATATATATATATATATATATATATATATATTCATCTATATCATATATATCATGCATACTTGTTTGTATTCCTAACAACCTAGACCATGTAATTGTCATAAAAACATCTACAAAAATATGTTTGATATTTGGAAACCTTTGGATAAAAGTTTCCATTTTAAACCTATAAAACTTTTTTCATACTTGAGTTCACAAAACAATTATATAATGCAGAAACGAATGCAGAATCATTATATGTATTTTAATATGAGTAAATGGCGAGTGAGAAATAAGTGACATACCCAAATTCACATAAAAGTTGATGAATTTTCTTAGAATATTCAATTTCAGTATTTAGTTGTTCAAATCTGGAATGTTCCCTGAAAGTCCACATGTTAAAGGTGATTCCTGAGACTGGGGGGCTGTAGAACAAGAGTTGGGGCTTGGTGAGTGCTGTGCAGTCATCATGAACACATGCTCTGAGGAATTATGACTCAGGCTGTCTCTCTGTGCTCACGATGTGAGCAGGGTTACTTCTCCACAAACTTCATGCAGTCTTGTGCTGCCCCTTCCTCATCAGAGGACTGAAACTATTAAGTCTTTCTCATCTAGACTGCAATCTCTAAAACTGTAGGCAAAATTAAACTGTTTCTTTTCACGAACTGACAATCATACCTTAATTGACTAATACGTTTATTTCACCGGCCCTCATCTCTGAACTATGGTGGAGAGATTTATGCATTCCAGTTAATACCTCCATGAGATACTCTTAGAAACTAGTTCACATTTATTTACTATTCTTAACATATTGAGTTTTTGTTAGAAACATGTTTTTCTTACTTTCATGCTATTTTGTTACTTAAAATGAAACATATTTAAGGAGACGTCTAAGCCAATCTGAGAAAAAAAACTGTCAATTTGCCTATTTATTAAAGAGTGATATATTTTTGAAAACAATAAAATATACATCTTAAATAAAAGTTATCAAATAAATGTTTCCTAGATGTGAATGTATGGGCTAGTAACTAAAGCAATGATTTCCTTTATTTTTTAGCCTTGACTAATAACAGTTCTTAAAGCAAATCCCACAATTACTATTATACTTCATATTGTATTGAGACAATATACTAGGTGTTATAATATCTATTAAGTACATTTAATAATATGTTACCATGGTGATATAAAACTTCATATTTTTAAACCACTTAGAAATTTTGAATTATTCACATTTTACTTTAAAATAATAGAATTTAAATTATGCAAACATCTGAAGTACTATTGAGTACTTTGAATATAAGCATTTTACTATTTAGCCACAAAGAAAGATAAATTTGAGTTTTTAGGAAAACTATTGCATTCTGAGAACAAAATGTTAAATGACATTAAACAAATGTACCAGCTGAATACCACATGGCTTTTCTTATATGAGTTAGGAAAAATGTATAAAGCAAAATAAATGATAGGTAATAAGAATTAGGAGGATAGATCTTTCTCAGTAGAGAAGGGGATCGCCAGGTGGAAGGGAAGGAGCACTGTAAAAGGAATTAAAGTGTGTTATGTACTTGTAATAATTCTCCACAAGACATATAAATAGTATATGTACTATATGCATATACAAAGTAGGATAAAAGTAAATATAATTTTGGAATGTCATTAGTAAATATTAACAGAGAGCTGTATGATGATCAGTATTTGACATTTTCATGTGGTAGATTTCAAAGCTTGAAACTACAAAATTTAGCTCCACCCCAAAATACTGTTTATCTTGGAGTCTTGCAAACTTTGTCCCTGTGAAAAGAGCAAACTTTGCAGCAGCCCTTTGAATTCTATTTCTTTGCTGTAATCTGCAAGTGACAGAGTCACAGCCACTGCTCCTGGGTAGCCTAGCAGCAAATGGGAAAATAAACGGGTTAAAATAAATTAAGAAAATTTATTTACCTTTAAAACATGTTTTGATGTAATTACTGTTAACTTTATCACTGAGTACTAAGTACTTATATTTTGCAATGTTGTTAAAAAGTAAACACAAAATATTCACTCTAAAAATGTTGCTATAGAGTGAGGGCGAATACCGGCAAGGCCCAGGGCGCGGGGAAGAGGGCTCCCCTCACCAAGCTGGCCTGGCTTGCTGCTCACTCAGAACCAGGGAAGGGCGCCCCTCGACTCTGGAGGCGCAGGCGCGTTTTTAACCAGCAAGAAAAAGTCACCGGGGACTGGCATGTCTGGAGCAGAGCGGGGTTTGGGCCCCTTGGCGCTGCCCTGTCCTCAGAGTGACCGTTTCCAGGTTGCTGTTGGAAGACTCCGTCCCGCAGCCCCGCGTGCCCAGGCGGTGCCAGGCATGGAGGGCACTGGAACCCTGTGCCGAGGCGTGTGGCCAACAGTTCATGGATAACCCAGAGGAAGTCTGCAGTGGAGGCCCCCAGGGATAGTGAACAGTCTGCCAGTAACAGGCATGAGCCGGGAAACTCTAAATAATGTGGAGGAATTCTGGGCTGGAGTGAGTGTCCACCATCCTGAGCCCCAGAGTTTGGGGTCATCGCTCCCGCTGCCTGTCAAGGAGCTGCCAGGCCTCCAGCACACACTACGGGCTCCTCAGGTCTCCAGCTGCCTGCCCCAACCTCAGTGACCCTCTCTCAATCCGAGGAACTGGGCTGTCAGAGGCCCAGGATTTTATGAATATTTCTGATCAACTTCATAAGCTACTGATACATTTAATGTTCATTTTTCTAGTATTACAAATAAGTTTATGCAATAAGAAATAATTTATAACATTATCTGATCACAAATAATAGAAGTATTCCTTTAAAACTCAGTAAGCATTTCTATGTGCATCTGAAAAGAATATGTACAGAAGCAGATTTATTTGCAATTTTGTGAAGTCTTCCTCTGATATTTATAATATTTATTCTTGAATCTTATACTACCCACATGTAGTGATTTAAGAGTACATTTTCCGTGTAAATACATTAATATTTTTCATCATTTAAATAATATTTGAGTAAAAATTGATGCTTTAAAAATAGCTTTCATACTTTTTATTTCATTTGCGAAAGTCAGACAAGAAGCATATAACACAGAATTATGATACAGAACTTTTTATATCAATTTAAAATTTATCCATTCCAAAATAACCCAATATGGACTGCTCATAATAAGTATTGCTCAATTGGTTTTCAAAGTAATTTTCAAGTTTTTCAAATGTAAACTGTCATAGTTTTAAAAATTGGTCAATTTTACAATCACAGTGTAAAATTATTCATGTATGTGATTGGTTTCATAAATTGTGATTGATAATTTAAAAGATATGAAGAGGACTTTTCATCCTGTGTTATCTACAATTTGGTTTATTCATAGAACAAATTTCAGGTCATAGATTTTAAAACATGTGAAGTTTTTACCACTCAGAAAATAGTGTATTTACTTTTGGCTTCCTAATGCTGCTTATAAAACTAGATACAATTAATTGTGTACTCTGCCACATGTAGGTTTCAAGATAGCCATGAACACTGGAGAAGGCAACAGGGTATCCATAAATCATGTAACAGTACAGATTTGGAGGAACACTTGACACAAGTTGTTGGAGGGGAGAGGTATCTGGCCACTTACCTCATCTTAGTTCCAAAAGAGAGGAGAAAAGATAAGTCCTTCTCATTTTAGAAACACCATATTCTAACCATCTCCAGGAATGAAATGTGTGCCAATAGCCTGGAATATGATCAAAATAATTTAAAAGATACTTTTGCAAAGTCAGCACCGAGAGAACTTTTACGATAATCAAGCAAGACAAATATCACCTGAAAATTCACAGCTATTGTTTTATTTATGTGACCTTAGTCTTAGCCAGCTTTGGTGCTACAGGCCTCTAATTTCGGCTTTTGAGAGGGTAAAGAGTCAGGAGGATCACCATCCCAGGCCACTAAGTAAGATCTTTTCTAAAAATTAAATTTGAAAATTGCCTGGAGATATAGTTCAGTGATTCTTAAGATCAATGTCCAATACCACAAAATAAACAAAACAAAACATACAATATGTTAAATCCTTAAAGTTTAGGAAAATGACTCTCCTGAAGTCTGAGGAGAGATTGGAGGAAGCTATGAGAGAAGTAAGTGGTCAAGAATCACAAAGAGAACAGGCCCCACAGGTGACATATCAGAGCTCATGTTCACAAACCTCATCAAGCAGCCATAAAAGTCTACCTGGAGACCTGAGAAAGCACTACTCAGGTTATTAACCAGAAGAAAGCAAGAAAAGGAAAGGTGCTAAAGTGTGATGACATCATCACGGATCCTTTTCCTCCTTAGGAAAGCCTTAAACTAAAAGCAAAACAAAAATATTTAAGAAAATAAAATATTGTACACATATCTCCCATTGATATAGACAGAAATAAACAAATATTGCTTTACAAAATTTAGGATTTATAAGAGAGTATCACCATGATGTGAGTGAAGCAAGGCTATTCCAACAATGAGAAATAAATTATTTACCGATTAAAAGACTAAAGATGGTTAATGGCAAATTTCTCATAAATGTGGGACAAAGAGCAAATGATTAAAAAGAATTATAAGTAGTAATTATTTTTTCAAACACCTATTACAATTATGTTTTAATATTAATATTCAAAATGACAGTGAATGAACTAGTGAGGCCAATAAGTAAATGAAAAAACAAAACAAAATAGGGTTGAACATGTCAAACTCCAACCTGTATATGTGAATGTGTGTAGTTATAGTATCAATTGTGTCTCAATAAAATGACCAATTAATTAAGGGAATAATCAGCAAAAAATAAATGAACTAGAATTAAAAAGCAGAAAATTGATTATGTAAAACTACTTGACAGTTGTACATGGTACTATTTTAATGTCAAATATATCAATAAATAGAAAATGAGAAAAGATGTCACTCTTTGCAAATGAGATGATTATCTAAATAAAATATCAATAAAAATCCAAAATAGGTTTACAATCCAGTGATAAGCTGTAAGAAACAAAATCAGTATATAAATTATATATGTGAAATATCCATTATCACAGGAAAACCAGTGGAATTCTTACACATAAATCTAAGAAAATGTCTGTGAGAGACTTGTGTTGAAAATAATAAAACTTCCTCTTCCGTAGTCCTCCTGGTGTTTGTTATCCCTGTGTTCTCTGGGCTTCCTCTTGTGACATTCCAGCTTACTAAACATTTTTCACACTTACAGATAAGAAAATTAAACAGGTTTTCATTGTACTTTCATCCAAGTAGTCCCTGCTGTCCTTCTTATTCTTTAATGATTATGCTGTCGGACTGTGAATCAGCTGTGTATTGAAGTTATAAATGTGATATAAGGGGCTTTTATGAAAGTCATTTTGCACATCTACATCTTCTTCCGTACATTTTGTTCTGGCTTCTACTCAAAAACCTAATGGGCTAGGAAGGCAATAAGGACCCAAGAAAGATTTGAAAGCTTTATTGAATGACTATTTTTTAAGCCATGCAAGGAAACAATAACTGTCGCAAAAGTCTTCAAAATCTGAGGTATGAAAAAGAGTGGGGTTATTGGCCACCAAAAAAAAAAAAAAGTGCAAAACAAGACAAGAAAATCTTGCACAGAAAGAGCCTGAGAACGTTCCACAAATCTGCTGCTGCTCCAGGGGAGCAGGAGAAATGAAGAGCGAGGCTTGGCTATGAAATCCTTAGGAAATCTGAGGATGAAATGAGAAGCAATACACACATAAGGCTGAAGACTGGAGCCCATGGTAGGGCCACCCATGAAGCGAAATCATGCTCAAAGGACCAAAACAGAAACAGCAAATGGCATCTTTCAACTGACAACCTACACTCAAAGATGGTTGTTACCCTGCATTCATTAGATGACCTCACTATGTCAGACTCTGCAATGAGTCATTGAAAAGGCTTAATTCATGTTTTATGAAACAAAAGCTGGTCGAAACAGTAGAAGACAGGATTTTCTTGGTGTTGATGATTAGTTTTGTCCTCCAAATGTGATGGGGATTTCTTTGTGAATTAAGCTTAAATATCAAAATTGATAATGCATTTTTCTGTATATTACTTTTCAGGCTTGTGAAAAGTAATAAGTGTTTTCACAGTTGTACCTTTTTCAAATAACCACAAGTAAGAAATTCCAAATATTTTAAAAGACTTACCAATGTAGAAGGTCTTTGAGTTTGATCCCCATACTGAAAAAAAGAAAAAGTAGAGGGTCGTATAAGAGAATGTATAACACTGTGATAGAAATGCCCATTGAAATTAAAGAGGGAAATATAGACAATCAAAGTGCCTTCAGGGATTAAATTGTATATTAGTGAATCAAGAGAATTTCTATGAATGAAGTAATTAAACAAAGGCTTTAAATTCTAGTAACTCACAATTCAATGACTCAATGTGGAATCACCCAGAACTTACATTTTTTTAAAAAGATATGTTTGCAATTTCTTCGGGAATCTGAAAGCTGGTCTTTTCAGGCTGATTTAAAAAAAAAAATCAAAGCTGAAAGATGTGTGTCTATTTAATTATTTCAGGAGGAACTGTTCCCGGGGCTTAGGAGGGTGTTCTGGATCCACCTTTTTGCCTAGTAATGTTGGAGGGGTCTTCGTGGGAAGCTCCAGGACATTCTCCATTAGTCCAGCCCCAACGCACTGCACCACCTGTGCCATTGGTACATTACAGAGGATCCTACACAGCAGCTGCCCTGGTGGGGAGTCAGGGAAAGCTGAGAGGTCGGGTCCACGTGGAGGTTCTGGACTGGTAGGATGTTTCTACTTCTGGAAACATTCTGTTACTGTAGATTTTCCTCAGGGTAGGAATGGCAGCAATGTTTTCCCCTCAAGCTGTAGAGAGACTCTGAGACACTGTTACAAAATGTTAGTAACAAAATATTGATACTAACACTGTGGTAGTGTATTGTTATCTTCTCTACACTGAGGACACTCTGGTGCAGTTGCTAGACCAAAACAAAGCCAAACTGAAAAAAACAAGAAAACCCTTGTCATCCAGGAAAACACTGAATGTCCAGTTCTGCCAGTGATTAAAATGGTAAGCCTTTTAATTGGTCCCTAGTATAAACATGCTCATTTGGCCAGTCAAATTCCCAGTCAGCATTAATAACGCTAAAGTCATTTGCTCATCTACATTTTTTTAATGGACTTACTCATCTTGGTATTATTTTATTCTCCTCTACATTTTACACCGTAATTTTCTCCATATGTAAAGTCAAAAGAAAAGTATTCCAGGTTTTGGCTTTTAAAACACCAACAAGCACTCTGTCTATTGTATCCACTTACAAACAAACATCTCTCTGTGCATGTAGAGTTTCAAGAGGAGTGCAGCTGTTCCTTAGTTCAAATGGAGTTTACATCTTAGCCTGATGCTGGTGTAACAAGTGGACTTTAGGATTTGACACAGGTAGTTAACTTTAGTTCAGGGAACACCAAGATGACGAATTCAAATTTTATTAATTTTGGCAGGCCTCATAACGAATATTATCAGTTTGGCCTGGAATCAGATAATGTTAGCAGGCCCAGTAGGGAAGCAAACAGATTACACAGAGAAAAAATGAAGACCAGGTGGGAAGGAGGCAGCAGCTGATACAGCTGTGCATTTAAGACCCTCTCTACTGAAGTACCTTAGCCTTTATTCTGTTTTGCCTCGTTAGGCTAAACAGCATGATTTTTCCCACCAGCATAGCTGCACCTGAGGAGCCTGCGCAGGAGCATCCTGTCTGCCTGCACTCTCGGGCTTACCTGAGGCTCTCTGTTCATGACTACCAGAAACTGAAAATTTTCATTTCTAATTTCATGATAAAACCCGAGAACGGTATCTGTTAACTTCTTCATCTTCTTTAAGTGGAACTCAGGTCCTTGTTCTTTGACACAAAGTATATTAGATAATTACAAAGGAAAAAAATACAGGTTTTCCAGGTAAAGAATCAAGATGATTGTGACACATCCGAGAACATTTTTCTTTCTGCATGTCTCTTCTACTTCATTTCATTTTTACTGCTTCCTTCATATTGTGCAACTTTCTTTTTGCATGCACAGGGATCCTTTGCTGTTGCCCGACAGCACGCAGTGCTGTTGCATTTGGCTTGATATCCATCTTTGTCTATCACTGCAGTCTTGTCTTCTGTTTTCTGCTGTTTCCTAGCTGACCTCTCCACCTGTCCTGTGGGTTACAGATTCTCAGTGAACAGCTCACACAAGTATAGATGTTCCCTACAAACATGAGAATAGTAAGAACAGCAAAAGAATATAATGCAATAATTTGAAAATACATTTTAGTAACTAACATACCATTAATATCATCAAATATTGTTAGTTCTGCCCAGTCAAATGGCTACAATCATTTCAAGTAAACCTTGAAGTCACATTTCAACATTTCCTTGTGTCTCTGCACTATGTTGTCTTTATATTTACCTCTATTTTTCTCTACTTGCTTCAATTATTTATTATAAAAATACAGAAAAAGTACATTAATTCTTCATAGTGTTGTAGTTTAATAGGTAGTAAAGAATATGTTCTGGTGTCATTGGTTATCCCCAGAGTACTTCACAATTAGTCTGAAATTTTAGCTAAATTTTGTAAAATTCAGATAATTTCCAACTATTTGATAGATGCTCTGCTGTGCTCACAAAGGACATTGTCTTTGTTTATAGCTTAAATATTTATTTGGTGAAAAACTGTCCTATCTCACAAAGTTATTTATCCTTCAGAAAAGAGAATCCTTTTATCTGTCCTTAGCATGTCTGAACCCATTCAATGACAACTTGGTTTTCATCTATGAGTATTACAACATATCTCTTTTCTAAATAGGATATATGTGTAACTTTACTTCTTGAATGCCATTTTTATGCCTTGACTTCCTTGAATTCTGTATAATTAAGTATATTTTTCCATATTTTTTAACACCCTTATTGCCTGTACTATGAAAAAAGTACATGATACTTACACTCACAAAAATATGTGTAGCAATTTTGATTATTGATTCAACCTGGTATTCCTGGATGGAGAAAAAGTTAGAGAGAGAATGTAAGGATAAACATTAAAGAATGAATTATTTTAAACTAATTGCTTTGTCCCTCCTTGGATTTCAAGATGTATTTAGAGGAGTGAAATGAGGATTTCATCTACCAGACATCATCCACACATCTCCCAGAAGGCAATAAGTGGGGAAAAAGGGCACACAAATGCTTTGTCTATGACTTCCATTCTACCATGTGATTAAAATGTCACCACCAACTGAAAAAAGAATGAGGAGAAGCCAGTAGGAGCCAATACTTACAATAATTTGAACCAGGTATGTCAATCCAGCAAAATTCACTAACAGCAAATGTTCCGTGGGTCTCTCTTGCTCCCCAAAACCTTGCAGTGTGTCGACTAGAGAAATTTAGCAGCTTATATGGATAACTCAGCACTTCTACATCCTACAGTGTAGAGGACATGCCCTTAGGGCTCTAGGATATTGTTTGTGTTAATTTGAAAAGTTTAGAAGTTTAAGGGACTCAGCAGGGGGTCAGGGTCCTCACTTGGGAAAAGTTCTGAGACTGTGCCAGAGAGGGGCAGAGGGTGTGAGTTAGACCAGCAGAAGGTGGAGAGCCTGCATACAATGTAAGAGAGGAAAAGAGGTTTGTTCTCCCCTTTTTGCTGTTGTTGCTTTGTTGTCTTCTGCAGCTTGAACTGTTGCCCCCCAGTCAGGCCACCTGCCTTGGAACCAGCTGATTATGGACTGAAACAAACTACACAGTCTAAAAACGGTGAGCTAAATAAACACTTTCTTTCTTTCACGTGGTCATTGGGCATTTTGTCTAAGAAACAAGAGAAAAGTAACTAAAAGTAACACTCCATACCAAAAGCTGTTACCTGATTTCTTTTAGGATAATTGTTGTAGCCCAGGAAGCAGGGTAAATACTTTGGCAGTGCATAACATCTAAACAGAATTTGGATCAGGTCACTATTGTACAGTATTTCTTATTGTTGGTACTATCATTACCAGGTAGTTAAATCTTATGCTGGGATACACATATCTCATTAATATTGAAAATATATTTAATGATTATTCTAATGTTATAAGAGAAAATAAACAGCAGTTATAAAGAAAAAGAAATAAGGGGAAAAGTTAGTGTTCTTAATATTTCTCAAAAAGACTAGAAACAAGATAAATATGCTCATTGTCCTGTGGACTACACTGAAAGTCATTTTTGAAAGAAAAAGGCCAACTGTCATATACCTGCTATGTTTCTCCAGACATTCTCTACTGCCTTCTTAGTGATGTCTTCTTTACATTTAATTCATTCTCTCAGCTACTCCAAAAGCTTAGTAAATTTTTATATTGTTATATATTCAGTCCTTTCTCCACCCATATTCTAAAAATCTTTTCTGCCTTTCTTTTATTCACAATTATCTGCTTATATCTCCTTATATGTCTTTATCTTTTTATGTCAGATATCTCACAGCTTATCTGTGTGGTGGCCTATGCTTGAAGAAGATACTGGTCTTAATGTTAAGGCCTTTATATCAGAGACTCTACTCTTGATATCATATTCCTAGTGGAACTAGGAATTATTTTAACTAGAAATATTATGTATAACTGTAACTAGGAATATTATGTATCATAATAATTAATATTATTCATTTAAATTCTACACTGGTTTTCAAACACCAGCATACAAATTTCTCTATGAATGTCATATAGAACCTTTAAAATTACTTTCTCTTGTTTTGAGGATAGGAGATAGTTTCATACTTAGAACTATATTACATTCTTATACTCCCATAGATGTTCAGTCATTAGGACAGATTCTATATTCCTTGACAGTTATAAGCATGATCATATACCTTGCAACTGTAAGGGAAAACAAATACCTAGCACCTTGGGCCAGATCTCAAAAGGAAAGACAAAACAAATGCAGTCACACCCTAAAGATAAACATCAGGGATTGATATTCTGCATGGATACACATCACCTTGAGGAAGCCAGAAGGGGCCACTAATTCAGCTGCTACAAGCAAAGGCCCTCATCCTTAAGTTAATCAATGCTACCTGAGCAATTAGACTGATAATCTTACTGGTTGACCATAATTCTGTCCCACCTCTTGCTCATCTTGTGTGCCCACTTTTCCCAGGTTGGACCTGCCTCATCTTGTGGCTTTCTTGGGCAATCTACGTGGGACCCTTTCTGTGTATCTCTCAGACAGAAATTTTCTTTCTCTGCTCTTAACGTCTGTTGATTCAAAAATTCAATCTTCAATTTTAGAGAACACAACACATATGGACATCTAGTTTCTTTGCCCTATATCAAATTATGCATTTCAGAGGGATTGCCTCTCCATCCTTCAAGTGAAACACTCTTGTAAAATCGCCAAGGAGTTTTTAAAAATATTTACATCTCATACTTAAATTACAACTACAAATTTTCTAAAGTGTGGAGGAGAGAGAAGACCAGGAAGCAGAAAACTGGCCTATTTAGTGTGTAGCTAAGCCAAAAGAAATATTAAATTGGAATTCTCACTTTATTCTTAATTTCTACACAAATTTCTCTTCACTTTTTACACTTTCTCAGTGAGTATGTATTGAGTTCAACATTTTCTCATTGAGCTGCTTTATTTTTATTGTTTCACCCTAGCAATGATCACCACTTAAAATGTGATAATGATACAGGAAAAGTATAACACCAAACCTGCTCGTGTTCAGATGTGCCGAGTTTGAAAATGAATTCCAGAAGACAAAGCAGGTAAAGAATAGGAAAGATTTATTAAGACATAGTCTCTGAAACACAAGAGGGGTCTCAGAAATGGATTGTCACTGAAGGCTCTGTGAAATACAACTTGTCCAGCATGTGGATACAACATGGTTCAAACTATAATCAATCAGCAAGAATATAAATATAGCCACTTAGCTCTTATTGATCCAATAGGAAGCAGAGTGCCAGGGTATGGGACTGACATCACTAGCCTTGGTTATCTATGACTTCTCAAACAAGAACATTTTGAGAATGGATAAGTCCAGCTGTTCGGGTCACCCATTGGGTGTCCAATACATATCTAGTTTTAATGGACTGGATGATACCAATTACAATGTAATCTTAAGTCCCATTCACCCTTTAGGGATGTATGTAAATCTGTACATTGTATTTTAATCTTGAGGCCTTGCCTTCTTCAGATACACCTTCATGTTAGGGACCAAAAATCACAATGGCTAGTGTTGCACACTTCCATAAGAGATTAACAGAGGCTTGAAATTTTGTGTATCACACTTTTGAGATTTTCCATTATCCCTATAGGGGCAACTCATCCTCTCCCATGTACTAAGATTAAGTTTAAAACTATGAAGAGTAAAGTATCTCCAGGGCAAGATTCTCATTAGTGTAAAACCACAGCTACCTGCTAAATTACTGTCATCCGATCATCCCCTCCCCCATCAATAAATGCTGAGGTCAAGTTTCCTTGTGGCTGCTGTGTAGCCTTGTGAACAACTGGTCATCCTGGATCCCCTTGTACCACCACTTTGTCTCTCTCTCTTTTCTTTTATTTTCTTTCTCATTTCTTTCATTTCTTTCTTTTGCTTCTTTCTCTTTTTCTTTTTCTTTCTTTCTTCTGTGCATGGTAGCACCTGACAGGAGATTGGGTCTCACTGTAGGAGTCTCTGATAAGTCCAGTCTGTTTTGATATATTCTCATTTTCACATTGACTTCCTCCTGGGCCTGTTCCTTTCTTACTGCCTATTAATTTTTACCTAATTTAATTACCTATAATATTAAGACTGCTTTGTGCCAGTAACCTATTGTAGAATACAGCATAACTGGTAAAAAAAAAAATCTCAGGAGCACATAATGCTAGGATTATATTACCCCTGCACCTTAAGTTATTTGAGAATTAGAAGTTTTTCAGACTTTCACTTGATTTGAGTGGCAGCCAACCACATTTCACTTTTCTTTCTTATACATTAGTCTACTCTGGGCATGTTTGCACAGAAATCAAAGTATGGCAGAGACCTAAGAACAAAGCAGTCAAGAAAAACATACAAGGTTTCTGGAGGCTTGCTCTATGAAATAATATGCACTACCTTTCCGAAAGCATGTTATATCACACATGGAGGGATACACTGCTTTTATTGCAGGGAAGGCCCAAGATTACCGGAACACTTGGAAGTGGTCGATTCCGATGCCAGTCACGCAGCACATGTGCACTCCCATTGCTTGTTGTTTTCTCACTCAAAGTGTAAGCTGCGTGTAGTCAAACTTACTCTCTTTTGTTTATTTCTTATCCCCCAGTGTCAAACACTCTCATACACACAGAAGGAACCTCAGTGTTTATTTTTTCATGCCTATAACTCATAATCTGAGCAACTACTTCAAAGATAACAATATGCGATATACTAACCATTGCTAATGTCCTATTATGCTAGTCTGAAATTCTGTATCATCATTTTTGTTCTTTTTTTATGTTTTAGTAAATGAATAAATCACATGATTGCATATCGATTTTCCTAGCACTGTTGTAAAATTTAGCTACTTTTGAACGTTTTGCTACCAAGTCTTCATTAAATTTGTCGCTCATTTAAAATGTATTGATTATCTATTCTGAAAACAAATCTGGAATCAACATGGTGGCTATAATCATGGGTCATGCAAACACAGTCCTTATCCTCATAGACCTTAAAACTTACATCCAGTGACTGCTTTTAGTGAATGAAACACAAAAACTTTTTCACTGGAAATATATTGCAATGATTAAGGATAAGGCTCTTATTTACTTATAATGACTTACCTAAATTAAATCTAGGAAACTAGATGTTGGTACTGGACTTGCCAAGCCACAACTATTAACAAAACTATTAACACAACTTATTAACTCCTTTCTTTCTCTCTCTCTCTCATGCTCTCTCTCTCTCTCTCTCTCTCTCTCTCTCTCTCTATCTCTTCCTCCTCTCTTTTTTCCATATACACTAAATACATTAAATTTCATTTCATAAAAAGTTTTATTCATTCAATAAATATGAGTAGAGCAACGTTATGTGTGAATTTTCTTATTTTTTTCTAATGACAGAATAATAAATCTGAGTTTGCTTAAGACTTCAACAATGCTACTCACAAGAATGATGTCTTGAACAGAGATTTGGACTAGACACAGAGAAAAGGCAGCAAGAATGTAGACTTGTTGAAAACAGAAAGCAGAAAACAAAATTCAATTTATAAGAGTACACTGGTGAAGAAGGCTCACAGTGGCCCAAAGGATAAAGAGAAAGGCTCAATTATTATCAAAATGCCTTGGAAAACTCCTATCCCATGTAAATAAGAAATTGGGACAATTGCCCTATAAAAACTCTCTAGACCTCATTCACCCAAAGTTGTTATACAGATTTAATCCAATGCCAATCATAATACCACTTGCATACCTTACAGATCTAGAGAAATCATCCCTAAAATTTATCTGGAACCTGAAGAGATCTAGAATAGCAAAGGCAGTTCTGAGTAACAAAGGTAAGGCAGAATTCATCACAATCTCCCACTTGAATGTATATTATAAAGCTACTGTGATAAAATTGACATTGTACTTGAATAAAAACAGACCTGGAGATCAATGAAATAGATTCAAAGATATAGCCACAACTAGCAAAACATTCAACCACGTCATCTTTGGCAAAGGGGCCAAACTGAAAGACAGACAGTCTCTTTAATAAGTGGTGCTAGAAAAACTGACTCTCTGTATGCCAAAAACTAAAACCAGATCCATGTCTATCACCATGCACTAAATGAAAGTCAAAAGAAATCAAAGATCTAAATATTGGAACAGAAACACTAAATCATTTTGAAGACACAGTGGGTAGAAATCTGTATGACATAGGAGTAGACAAAGAGTTCATGAACAAAAATCAAACTGCATGAGAGGTACTTGCAGAAATCAACAACTGAGATTTTACCTAATTAAAAAGTTTTTGCATGTCAAAGAAAATCTCCAACAGAATGAAAGGAAAACCCTACAAATTGGGAAAATATCTTAGCCAACTGCACCTCAGACAAAGGAATACTATCTAGAATATATAAAGAATTTAAAAAATCAGGCCCCCCACATTCAAAGACCCCAACCCAAAAATGGGTATTTGAGATGACTATACACATCTCAGCTGAAAAAATACAAATGGCAAGTAAATACATGAAAAAAAGTTCAACATCAATGTCATTCAGGAAATGCAAATGAGAACAACACTGAGATTCCATCTCACCCCAGAAAGAATGGCCAAGATCAAGAAACCAACCAATTACAAATGCGGGAGGCACTGTGAGGAAAAAGGAACCCTTCTCCACTGTTGGTGGGAGTGTAAGCTGGTTCAATCATTGTGGAAATCAGTGGAGAGACTCCTTATGAAGCTAGAATTGGAGATTTCACTTGAGCCAGCTATCCTGCTTCTGGGCATTTTCCCAGAAGAACTGAAAACATCATACCACAGTGATATATGTCCACCTATGTTTTTAGCAGCACAATTTGTAATAGCCAAATCTTGGAAACAACCTAAGTGGCCATCAATCAAGAAATGAATAAAAAAGACGTGTATTTTTATACAATGGAATACTCTAGCTATAAAAAAATCACATTGAGACTTTTATAAGTAAGACAATGTAATGAGACCTTACTAATAAATAAAATACATCAAACTCACATGTGTAAATATTGTCTCTCTGGTGTAAGAAACTGAAAATGTATATATGATCCAAAACTGTGTAAGGTCAGGAACTAACTGCTCAAAGAGGAAAAGTAACTAGGATAGGGGAAAGGAGGAAAAAAATAAAGTAAAATGAAAAACAAAACAGAAATTCATTCATATATGCATATATATATACATAACATAACTAAAATGAATATACTATTAATAGTATTGGTTATTGGAAAAGAACAGTTAATACTTATATGATTAGATCATTTTACATGTCTATAACTGTTAATCTAAGCCACCCTTTGAAGGTAACAATATGCAATATTACAACCTTTGTCAAATTCTTATCATCCTGTTTTGGAAACCTATACTGTTATTGTATTGAGTTTGTTATTGTTTGCCTTTTTGCTTTTTTTCTTTTCTGTGACTTTTTTCCCTCAAAAAAAACTCTCTTGGCCTCTCACCACATGCAAATTGTCCTATCAAAAAGTTATCTTGCCCTTTTTCCAAATATAAATGAATGAGCAAGAACAACATCATTTGATTAGTATGACCATTTGTAAATGAAGATTTGAGATGATCACTTGCTAATTGCTCCCCTGAACAGTGCTCCAGATGCATTAAACTTAGAGGCATTTTATTTTATTTTATTTTATTTTTGGTACCAGGAACCGATCAGGACCTTGCATTTCGCAGGCAGACCCTGTATAGATGAGATGTATCCCTGGCCTCTTGGAGTCATTTTGGGTGCAGTGTTTTGCACACATCTTCTTTTTAAAAGAAACATCACATTTTCTAATGATAACTGCACTTTTCCATGAGATGTGGCACACACCACAGAGTTGGTTGTCCAGTTTAATGCAACCTTAATCTCCTGCTGCAATTTGAATCTAAAATGCCTCTTAAAGATTAAGTTTTTTCAAAGTTTAATCCCTAATTAGGAGTGTTCAAAGCCAATGTATATATGGATCATAAAGGCTCCAATTTCATCAAGTAGATTAATCCATTGAGGAGTTAATTAGCTGAGTGATCTTATTAGGAATTATAGTAATTAATAATTAGTTAAAGCAGTGACTGGGGTCACTGGCTTTGAAGGGTGTATTTGGTCTCTACCTCATTCCTGTCTGGATCTTGCTGTCTCTTCTTCCTGGCTGTCATAAGAGAAGCAGGTTTCCTCTACCATGACCCTGCCACGATATTCCTGCAAGTGTCCTAATGCAATGGAACCATCTGACTGAAACCTCTGCCATGAGACAAAAATGTCTTTCCATTTCAACTAATTTTTTTTAGTATTTGGGCAAGGCAACAAAATCTGACACAACCCACCTTCAGAAAACACAGATAATCACTGAACCTGTGATATAATGATTTGAATAAGAATTAAGAAATCTAAAGGAAGTAATATATGCATAATATTTTTATAGTTTCTCAATGACTAATAAAAAAAACACTAGCAATAAAAGTTTTCTGATGGTCCTGTATTATAAGTTTGTCTATCATTTTTACTTAAGGCAAATCAAAAAACCTGAAACACCTTTGCAGTCAACAAACTACTGACCAAATGAAATTTAAAGCATAAAGAGAGAGAGAGAGAGAGAGAGAGAGAGAGAGAGAGAGAGAGAGAGAGAGACAGAGAAAGTGTCTCTTCCTGTTACCTGCCAAAGAAATGGATATGACAATTCCAGGTCCTATGTACCATCTCCAAGATAACCACCCTAAAATGTTAGGTAGGCCCCAAGGGTCCCGGTCCAGGGATCAGTCCTGGGACTCCACCAGGTTCGGATCCCTAGCGCAGCAGCTCTGTGACCAAGACACTGTGGGCCTCCAGGCCCGCTGCAATCCTCGCCCCAGGCACTGC